TGCAGCACCAGGTCAAACCGCAAGGGCACAAACTTGAATCCCAGCGAGGTGAAGTAAGTAAGTCATCCTTCCAAGGTGGAATACTGTTTGGTAATAGTAAACACCTATTAATATCACTATTTACCTGTAAAATAAGACAGTTAATTATGCAGAAGGATAATAACTTAGGATATACTTTGTTATTTATTTATTACTGGTATTTATAAAGCGCCAACAGATTCCGTAGCGCTGGTTAGAATATTAGTATATTATCCAATAAATCAAAAAGCTTAATGGTTAATATACTGACAAAGTATAATCTAGCTAAATTAAAAAGAAAACCCCTGAAAACTTTATTGCCAGTAATTTAAATATTACATATATATACTCATTCCCCACTTCATTTTTTGTCCTAGTGCAATATGTTTAAACACAATCAATTTCTAATTTTCACTCAAATGCACACTTGTACAGAATTGATCGTATGCCCTGGTTCTAGGTTTATGAACATCGGTTACTTTTAAAAAAGGAGATATTATTTTATGTGTGGCATGGAATAGAAGAAAAATTGCGTTGTATTTCCATGACCCCTCAATATGTTATTAGAGCACAGCTTTCATAATTCTCAGTCAGCGAAAATATTGTAGATTATTATGAGAGTTGTCATCTGTTGGGCACTTCAGACAAAGAGCCAGCTGCTCATCTGGCATCTTACACGGCACCAAATGCAAGCTGTTAAGGCAGCGTGGCAGCGTACTCTGACACCTGATACTTCCTATGTCACGGGAGGGCTGGCAAGGAGGATGGAGGGGAGCAATGACCCACTATGCCATTAGCAATCAGGGGCTGGGAGCTGCAGCTGCACACTATTCTACTGCAGGAGAAATATTGGGGTGTCTCTATTGACAGAGTACCCCGGGTGTGAGCCAGCAGGCAGGAATTATTCGGGAACTAGTTTTGCACTCTACACGTCCATTGAGGTGTTTACAAGTCATTGCAGCACGATGATGCTCCTGAAACGCATAATACACTGCAGGGTAATTCACAAAATTCCGAATAGTAGTGACTTGAAACCCAAATGGCAAAAATAGCTGATATGGAAAAATTCTGTTTTAGTATATTGCATGCGCCACTTGAGTAGGACCATCCGCACACAGAGCTGCAAGTTCTGTGCTCAGAAAAGGTTGTTCTTTTGTAATTGCCAGCTCATACCAAAAGTTGCCAAACCCTAACCTGTCCCCTCACAGGCTGTCCAACTGGATATCTGAAGCCAGGAACACTTAGCAGAGGTGCTGACATAGGTATGGATTTCAGGAATGATAGCCAAAGAACAGTCTCCACTCAGGGATAGTCCTTACATTCAATGTCAGGGAGCTGGTGCATTGCATCCTGTCCTATCAGTGCTGTGAGTCTGAGCTGTGTGAGGACTCACTGTGTTCAGTGTGACAGCCTCAGAACTGAGAACAGCCTGTCCCGGTTTTCTGTGTCTCTGTTCCTTTGCGTCATCCGAGCTTCCTAAAGAGACTGCACAGTCTAAGAGAGCAGACCCACAGGGGGATATTCACTAAACAATAAACTGTGTTTAAAGTCTTTAGATTGTAAGCTCACGGGCAGGGCCATCTACCTTTTGTATTGGTCTGTTCTTAATGTGTTGTCTTTCCCAATTGTACAGCTCTGTAGAATATGTTGGCGCTTTATAAATGCTCCTAATAAATAAATAAAGTCCCAAATTCTGAGTAGCCAAGTTCTGATTAGCTCTGAGAAATAAGTTAAAGTGGGGACTGTCAGTTCTCTAGAGTTTACACCATTGAATAAACCTTAAAAAAAAATAACCTATGAGTTATGTTCCTCATTTTTTTAAGATATTTTCATATCTTTTAAAGTTATATTGAAGATTCAATACATGACATGACAATCCAGTTCAGACAAGGCAAAGCCAGGGCACACATTGAAAATAAAGAGGAGAAATAGAAAAATAGTTTCCTCTCTCCTCCTTCTGCATACTACCGGCTTTAATGGACAGAGTTTTGTGAGTTTGTAACAATGATAGAGAGGGGGCTAAGATGGAGGCCCCCATACTCAGAATAAGGAGGTGTGGATTTCTACATTTTAAATCATTTTTCACACCTAAAACTTACACTTTGATTCCTCAACTATACTGCCGCAGTAATGCCCCCATGACAACAAGAGTAGATATGAAAGAAGGATGAGGGCTGAATTCATTTTTATTTGAATGATATTTCAATTGTGGGTTTTTTCAGTGCCTCTTTGTATCTGCAGGAGAATGTCTCATGTGTGTGTCTGTGAGGGTGTCAGAGAGTATTTTATTCACCTAAATATGAGTTTCTGTTCAAGAATGATTATGTATGGGAAAAGCAGCTATTCATAAATAAAATTTAAAAAAAAATAACCTTCACCTTTTTCAATATATTTATAATTTTACTTTTCAAATAATAAACAGCAATAATCAATAATGATGTACATGTGATCATTAAGTTGAAACACTTGTAAAATTTACACATAGTGCCTTAATAAGACTCCGTAGGCATCTATCTCATTAAGTGGTCTGGATGCAGTGTTCAGAGGAACTACAGTTTATACACTGCAGGGTTATGACTAGAGACGCTTCCTGTATTTTCACAGTTTAACTTTGTGAAACGAGTTGCTTTGCATGAGAATGTCCAGCATCTTCAAAATCCCAATAGGAAAGCAATGATTCAGCATTAGGACCTTCTTTCGGCAGAAGGATACTGTAGCGTTAGGAATACAGTTTTGCATTCCCAAGGATATAGTGTTCCTTTAGCACTTAAATATGGGCCTGTATTGGGGCTTTAGCTATCCGGTTTGATTGTGTTTCTTCTACTGTGCTGCTTAAAGGGGGACTGCCTGGACATTACATCATTAAATGAACTATTGAAAATCATCTGTAGCAAGTTTTAACCTTTTTTTTTTCATGTGAAAGTATGTGTAAGACTAAGCACATAGCATTGCTATCCAGCTCAGTCCAAGTACAACCACAATGCAAATGACAAGGAGAAGAGATATGGTTATATATAAAAAATGGTCCTGTTCTGCAAAATGATATAAAGCACTAAAGGTGGGGCAATCACCATGGAAACTAGTGGAGCAAGCAGCCAAATTGCCTTTGTGACCTTATCCTTTTTGCATGTTTACCTTCTTCCACAAACTACACTTAATAGCAGGAAAGGGTACATTTATAATGATGACAAGGAGCCACAAAACAGGCACCCAATTCTGGGATAGAGTTTAACCTTTCTTTTTATATTTCAGACCTCACAAAATATATTTTTCTAAATGTAGGAGATACGTAAACAGAATATTAAAAATCATGGAAAGTGACCATTTCCTTTCAATATACAGATTCTGTTTTTTATTCTATCTTCTAGGTGTGATTGGAGCAGATGTGAAGGGTCATAACCTCCCTTGTGAAAATGAACCAATCACATCCAGGCTGGCTCTGATCTGTGGGACATCTTCGTGTCACATGGGGGTAAGTTTTCCTAAATAACTACTGATTCTTGTTGTTCCATTCAATATGTGTGTCCTGAGTTCACCTTGGACCAGCAATGTGGAAATATCTTGAATGCTATGTACGACGTGGTATCTGAGTGCGTGTAAGATCAACACACACTGGAAGCTCTGGATCGTGTTGTAAAACAAATGTCCCATGCTGAATTACTATTTTGATTTCACATTGTTTTTATTTAGTATGTATATAAATATCTGGATTCGGCTGCAAATCCAAGGGTTACAAATACAAGTTGCAAAGCAACACATTTCCAAACTAGGGTTGTCTGGTTTATTTTCTGTTTTAATAACATTTGATTAATATATTTGCTCTAGTAATTTACATCATAACTCTATGTACACCACAGTCTTACAGTCTTGGGCCATTGTGTGATTGTGTTTAGAAGGAAATGGCAATATTAAAGGAACACTCCAAACTTGCTGACCTGCTTTATTTGTGAAGAGTGTGTCCTTTTTTCATATTACAAAAAGTGTAGATCTCAAGAGAAATTGACACATTTATAAATTAACTTTGTTACACTGGTTGTCACTCAGATAACAGATCTTGTTACATCCTGGTTTGGTTAGCTCAGTGGAGCTAAACTCAAGAGGCAGCAATTGCCGAGAGCACCTGCCTTGCAAACACTTCTCACTGAGCTGCATTGGGAAGTCTGTGATTGGACAGCCACGGAAAGTCTGGGCGGGTTTAGAAGGGGAGGGCTTGCAAAGGCTTCACGCAATAGAACTGCAGCTTCTGCAAACTGTTTTTTAAAATACCTCCCAATACAAAATGCATCAATAAAAATGCCTGTATGTTTTCATTGGGGTATATCTACAAAATTGGTGTCTCTTTTGGAGTGTTCCTTAAATAGCAGAAAAGGAAACAAAATGTTAATTTCCGCTTTTTAATGTTTGGTTATTTTGACCTAAAATTAGCAATGTTCTTTTCATTTGTACTCATTTCCCAGGGTAGTAAATAAACCCCAGTATCGACTACATTCAGTGCCTGTGGATTAAAGTGCATGAAATCCCAAATTTAGGCGCTGAAAGCAGACCTGCCATATCTGAGATAAACAGGTTTTTGAATCTTACAAGTGATAGTACTTCAGGTGTTAATTATGTACACAGACACACTAACTGGGTTATTTACTACAGGGAGAATTCAAAATTAATGAATTAATGAATTTTAAAATTAGGAACAAAATAACCAAACTGTTAAAAATCTCTACATCAGCTAAACTACCAGTTGTAAGCAAACCAATTAGAGCGCTCTCACTTCTGCATAGCGTGGGAAATGTTTGCACGTAGTGCAATACAAGTACAAAAGATAAGTCCTGCACTCAATCCCATCACTACTGGGCTGGCAGCAATGACTACAGTACACATCTGTCCCAATATATAGTAAAAACCAAAGAAAAGAAAAAGTTACCTGTGCTCTTTCCTTAATCCCTATGTATATTTAGACAAATGGAGGTAATTTAGTTGCTCCACTGGCCATTGGAGAGAATGCCCGCCTGCCAACGTCAAGGCAGACCCCCCTAGGCAGTTCCTAACACTGACCCTTCAGCCTACTTCCTTGAGCTTCTGGCAAAGATATCTCTAATGAAACAGAGAGGGGTATTTTTTACATACACCCCTATATACTCATTAACCCTTAATAGGGAACACATGGGATGGGCGGCAACATTGTAACAAGGCTGTGTGATACAAAGTAAATACAAATACAAAAGTGTAGGACCCGCTTTAGGGGGGTCTGCCTTGACGTTGGCCGGCGGGCATTCCCTCCAATGGCCAGTGGAGCAACTAAATTACCTCCATTTGTCTAAATATACATAGGGATTAAGGAGAGAGCGCAGGCAACTTTTTCTTTTCTTTGGTTTTTACTACGTAGTGCAATAGCTTACGTAACGTGGGAAGGCCTTTAAAAGTGCTTTATCCACTGTGAGAGCCAAGATGGATTAATTTTATTGTGTTTTTGTCATCTCTTTTTTTTTTGTGAATCTTTTTTTGTTTGTTTTTTCATTGGTTGCCATAGTTGTGATTATGGATTTTTATTTGCCCTTTTTTTGGGTCTGAATAAAAGAAGAGTTAGAAGACTTCTGATGGTAGGTATAATTTAAAATTTTACAGGTATTAGATCTAATGGCTTCCATACTACCATTGCAGTAAAGGGGTTAGTAGGGTTATTTAATTTTAATGTGAGCTGGATTGGGGACTGGGGACCTCTAGCCAGCTAGTGATATGCCCCTACCAACACATGACATGAGGGGGCATAGTGAGGTTGTAGACCTCCCTTGTAGTAATATAGAGGTTTTCGAACCCCAGTAGGCTTTTCATTAATTAATTTATTTTGAACTATTTATTGTGTTGCCATTGCAGTTATTTAACTGTTTGTTCACTGGCTGTAAGCGTGGCCAGCAGTAAAATAATCCATATTCTTTTTATATCTGGGCTTGGATTTGAAACACTTAGGTTTGGATTTCAGCCAGTGTTCAGTCCTTCTGAAAACCAGGCCAAATTCAATTGCATAGCATGAACAGTGTCCTGATTTTGCAGTCTCGATGACCTTGTAGGCAATCGGATGGGTTTGCCAATACAGGTGAAAAACCCCATTAGAATTGTTATGACAAATATATCCAACAGAAAAATGGTAGGGAGCACGCCAATGAAAACCTATATTTAGGAGCTTACACCTCAGAAAGGGTTTCTGTTCACCAAATCATTGGGACACAGCATGAAGGTCAATGGTAATTGTTTCATCCACCAAAGCCAGGCAATGTTTGGGCACTCCTTTGTCAGGAATTGTAATAGCATGTGGCTACTTCAGTTTCTGTCACCTTCCTGTTAGCCTGAACCAGCCTGGCCTTTCTTCTCTGACCTTTCTCATAAATACAGTGTTTTCTCACCCACAGACTTGCTGCCCATTGGATGGTTTTTATTCCGAGCACTGTTCTCTTTCATATTAAGGTGAAATTGCAGATGTTTGTAAGGTTTGTAGTTCGAAGTACAAACATTAAATAATGATAGGTTTTTGGTTTTATTAATTCATTCTTAAGGGAAATATAGAGGCTAGGGACTTAAAATGGATTAAAGTTTATACAGTATCGCTAATCGTAGAATTCTTCAGACAAGTTTACTAAATTTAGAATTGAAGAACAGCTATTACAATTATAACACAAAATAAACGTGAAATTAAAATATTCAAATGCTCAGATACTCAGCTTATGGGTTTTTCTAAAACATCATGCCATTCTGGTATTTATAGGAATTCAGATTTCCAAAATGTCAACATTAAATCTGGATGACCCCAGGACATACTTGAAAATGAGAGAAATCTCAATGTATCCTTCCTGGTAAAATATTTTCTAAATAAAAAGATAAATAAATGTGGACATAATGGCACATACCGTATATGCAGATGCGTGGTTAAAACTAAATAAAAATGTTCATCCCTATGCTCCTTTATTCATGATTATTAACTATTAATATTAATAATAATAATATTACACCTTCCCTAACTATGAAGAGAAACTAAAAGTGAATGTAGCCATATAAACCTCTCACAAAACTTTGACAACAAAAACCAAATTACTTGCAAAGCTTCATGGAAGTTGTAGGCAGTTGGAGCTCTGACGTATTGCAAATCAGTGCTGATTTCAAAGTAAGTTATTATGGTTTCATGGTGGTTAGTCGTTAAACCATTAAACCCAGCATTATCTTTCATTTTATTCATGCATACCCTTACCCGGGAGCTTTCAAACATGAGGCTTTCAGTAGACGTTTTCAGTCTGCCCGATGCTTATTTTGTCTAATTTAAATTTGGCAAAGAACAGTACTTGTCACGTCTTAATGTTTTGGGGAGAGATCCTAGACATGACTGAAATTCACATAAGCATGTCGGTTTTTAATGCCTTGCTAATTATAATTGCCGCTAATCTATGAATGAGTGCTGTGTGAATATATATATATATATATAAAACAATTTGGGACTTTAAAGCAAGTCACAGACTTTATTATTTGTTGAGTGCAAGCCATGCAATCCTAATAAGCTTTGGGACAAGCTAGAGATACCAATATTCAGTGAATAAACTTTAAATTCCATTACTGATGGTCCAATCAGTGGCCTTTGTGTATAGCTAAATTTACAGCAAGATTATACATAAACATAGTTACTTAGCGTTAAAATGTTAATTAGCATTTGTTCTCACTCTGTACATTTATAACACGTAGACGGACAAGAGTACCGTCAATCTTTCCATCATTACTTAATGTTAAAGATTGGACTAGAGTGATCATTCCAATCTATCATCTACTGTTCTACAGATTTACCAACACAAAGATGCCTTCTAAACACACCAAAATTGATGTCAGCCCAAAATTACGGAATTCATGGAAAGGCAAAAATATTTACACATTATTTAAAAGTGTTTATTGAATCGAATTTAAAGTTAATTTCAAATTATAGGCCCAAATAGTGAACTTTAAAAAAAAATAGACGAAGGATACATTTTCCAATTCATATTGAATTCACTTTTAGGTTTCTTTAGTATACTAAAGTATGAATGTAAAGTGAATTCAAACTGAATTACATTTACTTTCCTATGACATTACGTTGCTATAGACCTATGATACCTTCATACACATTGCACATTACTATGGGATCGCTTACAGCAAACATACACACGGTTATGGCGTCCTTAAGTCAGTTATATGTTTTCACTCCTTTTCTGTTTGTTCTGCTGTGAGATATGAGTCCTGGCTTGGTCTCAGGTGAGTCAGAGACTGGCTGGGTCAGGTAGCACCACTTTGCTCTAGCCTCTGTTGGCACTATGATAATGGGCTATTACATGCCATGAGCTCTTTCATGCAAGTCCACTTTGGAGAAGAGGTAGTTCTAATCCAATGGAGTGGTAGTTGGCTAGCACCTGTGAGATTTATATCATGTAAAGAATCTACAGGACAGCCCACATGTTCAAAACACAAAGAGAGGTATCTGCATTTATAACTCCAACAAATGGGACAAACTACCCCAGTCGTGGGAAAAAAATATATGAGAAGGAACCTATGCATTGAATATCAGCAGAAATTCAAATTCCGAGAATGTGAATTGTGAGTGCTAGAGTTAAGTCTTTAACTAAATGAATGGACTGTGAGAAAACAGGGTGGCACATATTAAGAAAGTGTTTAGTTTGGATTAGACAAATGTTTTTCAAGCCAAAATACAGTCTAGTCAGGTTTTATGCTCTCAAGTGTTTATAGGAGCATAACTAGGTTATGATGTATATGAGAATTATTCCATTGGTGGAAAATAGGTGGAGTGACAGCAAGGACAATAATACGCTCCCTTCATGCTCAACAACGTATGGAGGGAACACTAGATTCAGATTCAACTTTATTGTCAATGTAGCATGTGCATACAAGAGCAATGAAACACAGTAGATGATGTTGCCAATAATGCATAAAGGGAACCATCATAACAAATTAAAGTAGCTCTGTTAGTTCTGAACATTCTAAAAGATAAAATCTATTTTCCTTAACTTTTGCACCTTGTCCCTTTGTTGCCCCCTTACAATTGCTTCAGGTTTCTATCTGGATCCAATTCAAACTACCAACTCATAAAGCCCTCCACTATTCCAGTATGTGTTACCTTTCCTTTTTGGTAAATACACTCTTCCTCATTTCCTTCAGTGTGTGAGTGACCTACTCTTGTTCTCTGCTCATTCTTACATTGCTAACTTTTATTTACAGAATTTCTCAATGGCAGCAGCATTCCTATGGAATGTCCTTTCCCTTCCTATTACAAGTTCTCTTAGCCTTGAGTCCTTCAAGGAATCTTTGAAAACTCACCTCTTTAGGAAAGCCCACCATCTTCTTGGGTGCCTCTTTTTACAATAGCCTTCCTGTACCTTCATACTTTACTTGTTTGCATTGTTCATTTCATTCTCTCAACTTCCACACTTTGGTAGAGCAGGATTGGTCATAAGGTGACCTTAGACTTCTTCCTAGTGCCGAAGGTTAGATAGGGACCACGGAATCATTCATTTTCTTGGCCTCCTTTCGTCCTTATGTAAAGAATGAAGGGATGCCCCAAACCAATAACCCACATAGGGCCCCATAGGATCTTAATCCATCTCTGCCCTTTGGTTCTTCCCCACGTGACTTTTACAAACTTAACAAGACACAGGCATCAACCTGTGCTCCTTTACCCGTTCCACCTAGATTGCAAGTTCCGAGCATGGCCTTTTCCCCCAGCTTCTGTCTGTCTAACATACACACATCTGGTATGTAATAACATATTGTTAAATATTTCTGTTATAAAATTATGAAAACTTTGGGCACTTCAAGCTCTCTTGCCAAGTCATCAAAACTTCTTTTTATTGCTCTATTCAATAGTGACAATCAGTGGAGGCTGGTGAAGTTTTAAGATGGTGTCATGCCAGACTCCTCCCTATGCAGAGAGTACAGAGATGCTCCTACAATACAGAGAGCTGAGCATAATACAGCGATGCTTGTACAATAAAACAAGCTTCATACAGCAATATCTATTAAATACATTAAGTTGAGTACAATACAGAGATAACATACCACAAACAGAGCTGAGAAAAAATAGACATATTATTCACAGAGCTGGGCACAATACAAAGATAATTATACAATACACAGAGCTGTGCAGAATACAGAGATATCCATAAAACAGGTAGAGCTGAGTAAAATACAGAGAAATAACACACAGAGCTGGGCACAATAAGGAGAAAATGTAACTATTCCACACAGCCAGGATAACTGTGATGG